GAAAAGACCATTAAGATCGTCAAGTTGGACCGTTTTGGCATGGATGATATGTTTCCATTTCCACAGTGGCAAAAGAAGTGACAAACAAAACTTCAGAAATCTTTATTTGTGTTTAGTAAAAAGCCTCTGGGGCGAAGGCCAACAGAGTGCTGGGGAGGCTGCAGTCCCTGAATCGAGGCTTTTTGGTTTTTATTTAAAGAAGGCTAAATAAACACGTGTTGGGTGCAGTGCAGACAGGGCTGACGCCGCTTGCAACACAGCGGTAGATCAAGTGACAACAGGGAGCACGGCGGTTGGAAAGTCTTTGTACTGGGAAAGGTTTGTGCAACACTGCGCTGGGTGAAGTCCACAGAAGTGGACAGCCGTCGAAGTGAATGGCGAAAGGGTGGCAGGGGGTTGGCGGTGAAGGTGGCGAAAGATCTGAGGGCAGGCAGCCTCCTGGCATTCACTGTGTCCTGGCGCTGTTGCTGGCCCAGAAGCCACCTCTGTGCTGTCATCCCGTCGTGGGATGGGGTGTACGCTAACCCGTTTGTCTTCCGAGTCAGTGGTGGGCTGGGGCGCAGACGGAGTACGGAAGTGTGTGCAGCGGCACGCAGCAGCTGCTTGGGACGTGCTACAAGCGAAGGGTTTAACGGGAGGGAAAGGGCTGTGCCGCCTTCGACGAGGTTGAAGGTTTTGAACCTGTGTTGCAGATACACAGACTTTTCTCCACCCCATGCATCAGGACTTGCACTATTTCCCCTTCCGGCCTGCGGATCGCATCGTCTGCTCCTGGACCGCCATGGAGAGGGCCGACCAGAACAACGGCTGCCTGGTCGTGCAGCCAGGGACGCACAAGGAGCCCCTGAAGCCGCACGGCTATCCAAAGTGGGAGGTAGAGGGTCACAGGGGGCTCGGGAGGAGTGTGCATGAGGGGACGGCGCTTTGGCTGGGGAGAGCTCGCCGTGGAGGGGTGATGCCCAGGTCAGCGCTGAGGTTTGCAGCTGTGGTTTTGCTCTTTAGGCCAACACTGCCGTGTGACTTCGGGTGAGAGTGGCGTGGTTGGCCTCACTCCACGTAACCTGGGTGCAGTTGCCTCTGTTCCCACCTTCACCCAGAAATTGTCCCGCACGTCATGGCATTGTGGCACAAACACGTGCAACCGTTTTCCACTGCCCTTGCCAAGTTTGAGGACTCTTTCTCCTCCTGTGAATTTTTTTCCTGCCTGCTGAGCATGTGTACTGTCCCGAAGAGGAAAAATTGGGTAGGGAACAACTGGATGCAATTAAGTATCAAGCTGCATCTTCCTCTTAAGAACAGATGTTTCCTGACCTTGCCTGGTGTTGGCAATGGTTGTATTGGGAGCAGAAGGCTGGATCCCAGCGAGGGAATGAGGCCACCCTTGTGGGATTCCCCGGTGTTCTCCCCTGTTCTCTCCAGCTGAGAAATGTTCTTAGTTGTCTGAATCCAGCTTCAGAAAATAGAAAAAGTACCGTTTTGCTGTGCCACAGGCCTGAAGTAGGAAGACTTGTGGACAGGCTGTTAGTTGGGCGCACTGACTACGCTGCCCAGAGGGAAGCAGATCCGTGACTGTCCCTGCTGTCCCTTGCACTGACAGTCGGCTCTTGCTGTGACTGTAACTGGGTGAGTTCAGCTCAGCCTTTTTTTCTAGGGTAAAACCAACAAACTTTTCCATGGGTTGATTGATGAGGATGAGAAGAGTCCCAGGGTTCACCTTGTCATGGAGAAGGGAGACACCGTGTTCTTCCATCCCCTGCTCATTCATGGCTCTGGGATAAACAAGACATCGGGTTTCCGAAAGGTAGGAACCCATCTCCTGATACAGCTTCTGATATTTTTGATTTGTTTTTTTAAACTGATCAAACTGTCCCCCACCTTTCCAAGCTCTTGAATATGTAGATGAACTTTTCAATAAGTTTTTAGCCTCCTAATGTACTTTTGCACTCTCTTTTTTTGGCTTTTTATTTGTAAACATCTCTCTCTTTGGGGAGAAGAGCATGCTGAGGGCGCTGCTTGAGAAGAACAGAGCAGGAGTAGAAATTAGATGTTGAATCTATGTTTGAAGCCTGGCTGGCTGTACTTGCTTTTCCAATAGTTCCCTTTCAGCTGGCCCAAATATTGGGAGCTTCTCTAACTGTCTTCCCCCTGCCTTCCTGGTATCTCATCTCTAGATAGCAGGAGCCTCCATCATCCAATGAATAGTAGTTATTTATATGATAACACGACCCATTTTCCTACTGAGGGTTTGATTACACATCATCTGTTGGTCTTGTATGATGATTATTTAACTGAAACAAACAAAAGTGTCCTCTCTGGAGGCCTGATCCTTGCTCAGAAGTGGATTCATCCAGGCACGCAAGGGAGCTGTAGCCTCTGGTGTGGCCACCACTAGCAGTGCAGATCTTTCCCCTCATGCACTGCAACACACGCTGCTCTGTTATTATTCTGTTTTGACTGCATTAACACCTGCAGGGTCCGTTCTTTCAGCCCACATAGCAGTTTACTGGTCTGGAATTCCTTCCTCCTGAAAGCAGAGAGGATGTGAGGTACGGGGAGTCTCATCTGCTGGCTTTTCCCAGGCCAGTGGAGCAAGAGTCCTGTTTAGTATCCCACAGAAACACAAGAGCTTCCTCATACTGTGCTGAATCCCAACATTTGTCTGCCTTTGGGGTAAATCAGTGAGTGTCCTGGAGCTCTCTGAGCCAGGTTATGCTCCAGCAGCCTTTGAGATGCGGCATGATCTTGCTTGCAGCCGGCATAGCTTGTATGATGACAGAACAGCTTTTGCTGCTGGGGCATTTCTACTTACTTCCTCCAGACTCTGCTTAAGCCAGAACTGATTACAGAATAAGTGGGTTGGTGGACTGCCTGGGTGCAGAAAGTAAGAACCCTACTGAAGACTGGTCTGCTCCAACCCCGACTCTCCCTAATCCCACTCTAGTTGCTGATACTGGGACCAAGTAGTACAGTTCTTGCTGGGGAAGTGTTTGGGGGAGAAAGGAAGGAAGAAGAGCATGTTAGCAAGAGGGGTATTTCTCCATGGGGAGAGCAGGAGTGCTTGGAAAGGAGGAAGACATTTGCTGACGTGATCTCTAAGGAAGGGGTGGGGATCCACGATCTGGGATGCGCGAGATTTTTGTCCACCAGTCATTTGTAATCGACGTGGTAGTGAGTGATGCCCAATTTCCTCACACAGAGTATAAGCTGTCACTTCGCCAGCTCAGAGTGCTACTACATTGACGTCAAGAACACGAGCCAAGAGGACATAGAGAAAGAACTGGTAGAAATGGTTCACAAGAAATACAACGCGACTTCCGTGGAGCTCAGGGTGAGACTTGGGTATATGCTCTTTGTTACAATCCAGCTCAGTTCCCTTTCCTGAGCCTCTCCTGTGATGGGTTTGTGCTTCCTGCTGTGCCCAGTTTGGCAGATCGGGCTGTGCTGAGCAGAGGTGCTTGGCAGAACAAAAGACCTGATGGTCAGAGGATGACCAGCGGGTGCTTTTGGCGCCTTTTTGTTCGTTGCCGTGCTGGAGAAGTGTGGCCTTGCTCTCCGGGCAGCCCCTTCACATCCCTTGAGCTCCACAGGTTCCTCCTCCAGCTCTGCTGGTCACCGTGGGTTTTTGTGAGCACGCCTTGATCCCTTCCAGCCCGGCTGAGCTGGTGCAGGTTAGATCAGCGCCTTGTTACGTGGTAGTGTCAGTGAGGGGCTGCGGGCTCTGCTGCCATGCCAGCTCAGCGCTGAGCCTGCTCACGTGCACTTCTTGTGCCATCCGAGGGGCTCTGGTCTGTGGCCCACTGGGTAGCAGTGGGGAGGGCTAGCGTGGCTACAGCAGGTATGTCAGCAGCGATACGCATCTGCCTCAAAAAAAAAGGGGTAATGGGCTGTTGCTGAATGACTGAAATTGTTGTGTGAAATAGAAAGCAAATCTAAATTTTTCATGGGTTCAGCTACTGAAAGAAAAATAAACCTGGTTATTGGGGTGAAAATATTCTGGATTTCTTAATCTGCAGCAGTTCCCAAACGTGCACAGCCAGCATCAAGGCAGTAAAGTCTACATGCAAGAGGCAGCGATTTTCTTTTAAAATGTACCTATTTTGCAGATACTACAGTATCTGGGGCATTCTGGAAGACAGGGCTTTTTTTCACCTTCGGGGTTTTGTTCTGTCTTGGTTTTCCCCACAGTGTGCCTCTGTGGTGGGGTGTCCAGCTGCTTTGTGAGCCTGATCTTCCATGTTGTCTGTAAAGTCACAGCTTGCTTGACATCTCATCCCCGGAGTTACTTAAGTACGTGGTGAAATCCGAAGTGACGCGTAGCAAGGCTGTCCTTGTGAGTGAAAATTAATCACAGAACCATTTAGATCATAGAACCATCGCGTTGTTTAGGTTGGAAAAGACCTTTAAGATTATCAAGTCCAACTGTTAACTTAGCACTGCCCAGCCCACCACTACACCATGTCCCTAAATGCCTCATCCACATGTCTCTTAAATCCTCCAGGGATGGTGACTCCACCACTTCCCTGGGCAGCCTCTTCCAATGCCTGACAGCCCCTTCAGTGAAGAAATTTTCCCTAATATCCAGTCTAAACCTTCCCTGGGGCAACTGGATGCCGTTTCCTCTTGTCCCATCACCTGGGACAAGAGACGAACCCCAACCTCTCTGCACCCTCCTTTCAGGGAGTTGTAGAGAGAGATCACGTCTCCCCTCAGCCTCCTCTTCTCCAGGCTGAAGACCCCCAGCTCCCTCAGCTGCTCCTCACAGGAATTGTGCTCCACACCCTTCCCCAGCTCTGTTGCCCTTTAGAGCATGTGTCCGTGCAAACCTCAGATGAGTCTGTGTGTTTTCATGTGGCTTTAAGCCTTTTTAAAACCAGAGTTGGAGCTCTCTCCCACAGGAGTGCCCAGCTCTTGTGATTCACAAGACTAATGAGAACTGAGTAACCCTCACACAGGGAAACTGAGGCAGGAGCTTGCCCAAGACTTCCCTCCATGAAAGAAACAGCAGTGGTTTTTTCAGCCTGCGGCAGCACCTACCCAGAACCTGATTCTGGCTATGAGCTTGCATTATCCATATTTCCTGCTGGTTGCTGCTGCACAAGGAATGTCACTAGTGCGTGGGCAGCAGCGTGCAAGGTGCAGTCAGTGGGTGAGCCTTTCTCATCACCCAGAGGCGTACAAGGGAGGCACCGTGGGGACAGGCAGGCAAGGGTGACTTCTGCAAGGGTAATATCCTCTGTGCTCCTCCCGTTTCCTCTTCTGCCGCCTTCCAGAATTGAACCGCGGGCGTCTTGCCATCCGTGTAACACCTGCGAACAACCTGTCTCCTGGGGGCGGAGGCCGCACCTCTCCCTTAGTCTGTATTTTTGTCATTGATATTTAGGATTTGAACACCTGAATCTGTAGGTGTTTTGGTGTGGTTTTATGGGTAGGTAGCAAAGCTGAGAATGCTGTATCCCCAACTCTGTACACGGGAATCCTGGTCACTGTTTATGCTCGCCCTTAAGGCTTTTCCCTTTGTCTCATTTTTGTTTTGAAGGATATTTGGATGTTCCGAGCACGGCTTGTGCAAGGGGAAAGAATGACCCTGTAGAACAACCTCTGGAGAGCGGGATGGAGAACACGTGGCTGAGAAGGAGCTGCTCAGATGGGAGAGTGCAGACCCTGCCTCAGCGGGCAGAGGGCCGTGTGCTTTGTTGAGCTCTGTATTGGTACCTCAGCTGAGCGCTGCGTCGCGGGATCGCGTTACGCTGATACCAAGGGATCGCACTGAGGTTGAGCAGCTGACGTACGTCGCAGAAAACCTAACCTAGAAAAACAGAGATTTGCTGTGGTTATCTTAGACAATCGAAGGATTAAGGTCTTGAACCCCTTGATTTTCTTGATGTTGTCATTCTTGGTATTTAGAAGTCTCTCACGGGACAAACCTTTGGGATGATGCTATATTAACATAAGGTTTTATGCAAGAATGTATCAAATGGTATGTTTTTCAACATTTCCAACTTCTTTTTCTATGCAAAAGCAACAGAATGAATCAGTTTCCCACAAGCCCTCAGGGTGAGCTCGCAGGGGAAGTCACTAGTACAGCTGATGAAGGTGGGGATATTGGCACCAGCAGTGTGAGGAACAGGATAACGGGGAAGCAGCAGCCACTTACACAGGAAAATGGGATTGATGGGCTGGAATGTGACCTAGTAGAGTTCCTCAGGCGTGACCTGGTGTGGGATCGCACCTCACCGAGCACCGGCACAAGGGCAACACGTGGCTGGGAGGTGCTGGGCCAGCAAGCCAGCCTTGCGCAAGCGATCCAAGGCTGTGCAACGAGGGAGTCCTCCTTGGCGTCTGGCAGTCTGGGAAAAGGTGTCTTTGGATGCTGATAGGTGGGGGGTGCGGTTGGGTGCTCCTCAGGGTGCACCGGTGGCAGGGATGTGCACTGAGATAATGCTCTTGCCTTTCACAATGTTTTTCCTTGCTTTCTGAAAGGTTCTTTTGCTTTCGGGATCTATTTTTTTGAAATACAGATTAAATCAGAGCAAAACTGTGTTCAAGTTTTTAACACGCGGTTCGAAATAACTGTGTTTTACTTCTGCTGCTCAGAAATTCTGGCAGTGGGTGCGTCGTTGAACACGTCGGTCCTCAGGAGCAACCTGGTCTAGTGGAAGGTGTCCCTGCCCGTGGAAGGGGGGTGGAACTGAATGGTCTTTAAGGTCCCTTCCAACCCAAACCATTCTAGGATTCTATGATTCTTTTTCACTCCCCCCTTCCACCTGAAAGTGCCAAAACACCACCAAAGGCTGCACTGATGGGCTCTCATGGCTCCTTCTGCTCACTTGTCCTGAAGCTTGGGGGGGTCACTCGGCTGAGACAGGTCAGGTGCAGTTCTGCCCTTGACCCACAAGGCTCAAAATCTCCCATCCAACGAGACGGTGACTTTAGGACAGACCCCCAGCCCTGCTCAGTGGGTCATTTGGAGTATCCTGGTCCCTGCATCTCTTCCCATGCCCTCTGGGTAACACTGGCACCAGTCCCGCTCTTGGGGAGGTGTGCCATGCTGCCTCTCCAGACCTAGACCTTCCCAGCCTGATCCTTCCTTGCTGCATGTGCGCAAGTGAATGATTTGCAGTGAGTTGGAGGCTCCTCTGTTGGCTTTGCTGAGCTCAGGCTCACAGCCCAGCTGGTGCTCTGCTTGGGACTTTTGTGAGAACAGTGTCCTGTCTGTGCTGTGACACAGGATCCATGGAGGGACTTCACTGTCTGCCATTCTGGGTGTAGCTGAGTTGACTGCAGAGGGAGCTGTGACTACAGAGAAGAGCTACAGGTGTCCATCAGCTTCCCAGGGTTTCCAGACCGAATTTCTCTCACTACAGCTGGGAGAGAGACGGAAAGGAAAACCTTTAGCTTTGTTTTTAGGATTTTTGTGCTTAGATTTAGGATTAAATTTCCTCTTTCAGAAGGGAAGACCCACCAAAGACGTCCTTGTCCCACCTGCTAAGACTGACATTCTCACTCCTACAACGGGACAAGGATACTCCGGAGCCTGGGGAGGGCTAAGCCTAGGCAAGCTCCCCTTGATTGTGTGCAAGGCCAGCTCAGCTGCATCCTTGCGATGCCAAGGAGTCTGATCTCCACCCCCCGAAATGACCCTGGGCAGAGCCAGATCCAGCAGAGCTTCTTGGCCCTTTCTCTGCAAAGCTGCACGCTTACGGGTGCAGCCCATATCCCCAGGAAAGGATCTACAAGCACATCCTCGCAGGATATCTGAGCAAGGGCTGGTGTCCAAAGGTGCTTCATCAGTTCATGTAAACATGACCTCCCGTGCGAGGGACCTACCCGGCCAGTGCTCTCTTGTTCCTATCCCAGCCAGCAGATTCTGCAGTCACGGCCCACTGGTGGAAATTCACAGCAGCATTGGGGCAGCCTCTTGGGACACGTTAACACCGTGACACGACGTTCCCCAGGGCAGTTCCATGTCACATCTGAAGCGCATGAAGAGTCTTTTCAGTGCAACCACCCGCATTCCGTGTTTCAGGTAACCTGAGTTCTCGCTACCCCGTGCGTGAGGGCTTGCACCCTTCCGGCCTGTGGATCGCATCGTCTCCTCCTGGACCACGATGGAGAGGGCGACCAGGCCCACGGCTGCCTGGCTGTGCAGCCAGGGACGCACAAGGAGCCCCTCTGAAGCCCCACGACTATCCAAAGCGGGAGGCACAGCAGCACAGGGGCATGGGGAGGTCATGTGTGTGGCGAACCACATTTTGGCAATCCTTTGGGAAGGATTTACATAACGAACACCATGATTAGATTCAGTGCACGCACTTTATCCCCAGGATCTCCACGGACCTGAATGAAACCAGACTGACAGCAGTAGGCAGGTTTAACACACAGGGCATACAGGTATTGGCATGTGCTGGTGAGTAACTGAGGCCTTTATTTGGGAAGGTAATTAAGACCCCATGTAATTACTTCCTCTGGCACATGCCGAGCTGCTGGTGTACAGGACAGGCTCAGATACAGGAGCACCCGTGGTGGGCTCCCATCCGGCCCTTGACCTCCTCCAAGTCACCCCGTTTACTCCAGCTCTGCCAGGGCCAGAAGAACCTGCTGATTTTACACTCATTCATGTCAGTGTCACGTGTCCTCTCCTAAAATCAGTACAGCCAACATGTGCCGAGTTATCCAGAGCTACGAAGCAGGTGCTCACCGGGGCAGTGCTCCCTGTTGGGATTGCAGCCTGCACCAAGGTCACTTATTTTCATGTTTGCACATGTATCCCATTCCCTGTGTCTTTCCCAGCCCCAACCTGTGCCTGGATAACCAGCCTGGATGTCGCTGTTCTCCAGCCCTTAGCTGCTGTGGGGAAAACCAGGGAGCCATTACCTTTTCCTATGCAAAATATTGCCCTCTCCTTGCTCTGATTATGCTCCTGCTCCTTGTCTGTGCACATGGTGTGGGTACCCCAAAACCGGGGCTGCTCCTCTCTTGGCTCTGAGTCTACAGAGACAGAACAGAACACACTATCAGCAGCTGTGCTGGAGGGGAAGCCACAGCACATGCGGAGAAGCCAGGTCCCCAGAGATACTGGGGAGTTCCCCTCCCTCTGCATTTGCCCGTCATTCCTGAAGTCAGGTTTTCAGCTAAGGGGTCACAGACAAGTTATTTTGCTGTTCTTGGAGTCCCTGTTAATCATATAAATCGAGCACTGATCGCCCAGGCTGGTTTTCCAGCCAGCAGTGGAGGACCCACTCGCACCTTGAGGAGGGCATCCTGGCAAAATGAAACAGGATCTGCAACACAGCACAGGAAATGAGACCAAAAGGGAGAAAAGTTTTGCCTGCACTCTTATCCCACGGGGACGTAATTTGGGAGGGAAAAGCCAGACAGCAACTGGGTCAGGAAAAATCGTGTGATGTGAAATGGCTGGGGGAGTCCAGCTTGCACGTGACGGCCCAAAAGACCACGGCAAAAACTGACAGGCCAAACAGAAGGTCATATAGCGGCGTGTTTCTTGTGAAAGCATCTTTAGAGGTCATTACACTGCTTTCACTCCAGACCTAATGAACCTAAACGGGTTAGTGCAGAGGGAGAAAATGCTAAAGGTTTGATTTTCCCCCTCAAAGTGTTTGTCTGAAAAACCCAAGGAAAGATAATTTGTGGCAGCAAGGCGAGGTGCTCCAAGTCAACACTCCAGCAGTAGCGGAGGAGAGGCAGGATGCTTAACAGATCTAAAACCCAAGCCTGATTTCGTAGATTATGAGAGAATCCGGGCATCTTCCTGCCCGTTTTCATAGATACACGAGGCACCAGTGGTGGCGGAGGTTTGTGTAATGTTAATCCAATTTAGCACCTTACACCTACTGGTAGTGGCAGGGCAGACTCGCATCCCGTGACACGTTGATCTCAAGCTCTCCTGAGAACACAGCCTGGCATGCAGCTGGGCTTCTTCGTTCCGAGGCTGAAGGTCTGTGTCATGTTCCCCAAACTGGGACAGCTTTAGTGACAGCGTAGATCCAACTGGGCGTGTTGGGTCACACCTGAGCTGCCGCTCCTGGGTCGCTGCCTCTGCTCTTGCTCCCAGGCATCGGTGGAAGTGTATGAGCGTGGAGATGCCACAGGCTGTTCTGGCACGGTGCCGGGGCAGTGCACTCACGTGGCAGCGTGTCCCAGCAGGTAGCTCTCCTCCCTAGCCTGCTTCTGCTGGGCACAAGAGAAGTATCATCTCCAAAACCTGACTGAGGCACATCAAATCCATTGTCCCCACTCTTCAGTTACTGAGGGGGTTTAAGCAAAGCAACTGGCTTTGGTTTTTGCATCCTGTTTTCGTTTCTGCAGAAATCTCCTTTCCACTGGCCAAAGAGACAGGAACAGGGGAAAAAAAGCACCTGAAACTGGCTGGAATTTCATGCTGGCTTTATGGACTGCAGGTGAGAAACTCCAGTTGGTCTGAATGAGAAAATCGCGTGGCAGCCAGGGTTACAGACCATAAACCAACTGCTTTTGGTGATTCAGCACCAAACGCTCAGGGAAATGAAGATGTTGAGCGAGCAACTCCTCCTCTTCCTCAGAGAAATGATACCATACAAACCCAGGGAGCGG